GGATGGGCTGCCCCCTCCAGCCAATGCCTCCACTCCTCTAGGGCCAGCTTGATGGCAAGGAGTTCTCTGTTGCCGATGTCATAGTTAAATTAAATGGGACCGACGATCATCTTAGGTGGAATGATACTTTCCGGTTCTTCTGGGCCTTCCACATGACTGTGAATACGAGACCAGGCATCTGCCTTGACGTTTCGGGGAACAGGGCGATAAGTAATGGTAAAATTGAACCTGGTAAAGAATAATGCCCATCGTGCTTGCTGGGGATTTAGCCGTTTAGCCTCACAGAGATATTGGAGGTTTTTATGGTTGGTCAGTACGGTGAATGGATGGGCTGCCCCCTCCAGCCAATGCGTCCACTCCTCTAGGGCCAGCTTGATGGCAAGGAGTTCTCTGTTGCCGATGTCATAATTATTTTCCGACGGGCTGAGCTTCCGTGAGAAGAAGGCACATGGGTGGAGTCTGGCTGAGTTCCCCTGCTGCTGGCACAGCACTGCTCCCACTCTTGTAGTGGAGGTGTCAACTTCCACGACAAATGGGAGGTCGGGATCTGGATGGACTAGGAGTGGGGCGCTAGTGAAGGCTCTCTTGAGGGATGATCGCCTCCCTGATGTATTCCTCCATGACCTTCTGCTCAGGAAGCGATAGGGAGTAGATCTTTCCACGAGGCACTGGCTCACCCGGAATGAGATCGATGTCGCAGTCCCATGGCCGATGTGGTGGTAAGCGGGAGGCTTGTTTGGGGCAAAACATGTCTCTGAAGGGGGTATAGCAAGCTGAAATTTCTACGGATTGCTTCTCGATGGGACTCTCAGTGGAGGTGGAATTCACGGGAAGGGCCTCGGGGAGTTTCTTCGGAGGAGATAGAGTCCCGGGGAAGCAGTCCGGGAAGCAATCCTTGAATCACACTCACCACGGGACGTGGAGGGCGCAGGGGGCATGCCAAGATCATATGCCCTGGAGCTCCACAATATAAACAGAGGCCCGGGTCAGCCTTCTCTGCCGCTCAGCAGAAGATAATCGTTGCTTTTCCACGATCGTGGGTTCTGGTGCTGGTTCTGGAGGATAACTGGGCTCTGGTGGGCGGAGGCAGGAGGTTGTGGCGTGGACGGGTATGGCTGCTAGACAGGACTGCATGCGGCTCGAGCATCGGATGGACAATTGCATGAACTTTTCCAATCCAAACGAATCATCATAGGCAGCGAGCTGTAACCGAAGCTGGGGTTCCAGCCCCTGTCTTTAGGTGGTCAGTAGCGCTCTCTCATTCCATCCACTCGCCGCAGCAAGAGTCCTAAACTTCAGCGAGTATTCGGCAATTGACATGGTCCCCTGTTGTAAGTGGTAGAGTTGCTCTCCCACAGCGGCATCTCCGTCTGTCCTTCCAAA